ATGCAAATGCGAGTAGATAAATAGGTACCATCTCGGTGGGAAGGTAAACAGCGTTCTGTGTCTAAATCACACTGGCCATGTGACCACGGAAAGATTGTCTTCGGACAAAATGCTGGCTCTATGGCTTGAAGAGCGGGATGAGCGCCGCCCCCTAGAGTCGGACACGACTGGACAAAAATTGTCAAGGGGAACCTTTACCTTTTTATCCCAGTACAGCTTTCCCCACTCTTTAGTTGACTATGAGGGCTACTCTATTTCTTCTACGAGATTCCTGCCCACAATAGTAGATATGGTAATTGTTTGAATTGAATTTGCCCATTCCTGTCCATTTTAGTTCACTGACGCCCAGGATGTCAATGTTTATTCTTGCCATCTCCTGTTTGACCACATCCAGCTTACCAAGGTTCATACTGTAGATCTTACATTCTAGGTTCCCATGCAGTATTTGTCTTTGCAGCATCGGACTTTCCTTTCACTTCCAGGCGCATCTGCTGCTGAGCGTCCTTTCAATTTTGGCCCAACCACTTCATTAGCTCTGGAGCTACTTGTACTTGTCCTCCACTCTTCCTCAGTAGCATGTTGGACGCTTTCCGACCTGAGGCGATCATCTTCCAGTGTCATATCTTTTTGCCTTGTGTTTCTGTCCATGGAGTTTTCTTGGCAAAGATACTGGAGTGGCTTGCCAGTTCCTCCTCCAGGTGGATCGGGTTTAGTCGGGACTCTCCACTCTGACCTGCCCATCTTGGGGGTCCCTGCACGGCATAACCCATAGCTTCTCTGAATTACTTAAGCCCCTTCATCATGACAAGGCAGCAATCCATGAAGGATTTTTAATTTTTAATCATGTGTTTTAGAAATGTATTCTTTGCTTTTTGACTGCTGAGATTGTATTATACTTTTTATGTTTCTGTATTTTAAACTGAATTCTGACTTAAGCATTTGCCTGTGTAACCCCTATGAAATATTACTAAGAAAGAGCAGCGAGAGATGAAAGAGATTTGAATCAGAAAGCGTGAGAGAGCTGAAAGGGCCAGAGCTGCTGTTGCCACTTAGATTTCTAAGGCCCTTGCCAACTTGGTCTAGGTATAATTCTTTTCTGTTTGTGTTGGAGGGTGAATCTGCATAGTGAATTCATGTATATACAATTAAGCTGCTATTTATTCTAGGGGTCTGAAGACACTGAATGAAGACCTGATTTTTCTATGGGTTCTTAACTTAACCTATGGTCCACGGACCCCCAGGAGGTCCATGAAGGCTTGAAGAAACATTATGATCTTTTGCAGTTCAAATAGGAAGGAAGGAAGGAAAGAAGGAAAGAAGGAAAGAAGGAAGGAATGCCTCCATTGAAAACGAACAAAAGTAAAAGTCAGTTATGAAAATAACTGTTTGATTTTTTTTCACATGGTGAGAACATGCCAGTGACTGATGCTGAGTGACTGAGAGATAGCTCTTGACATTTTTTGCTACTGTGCAGACAGTCAGAAGCGAGGAAGTGAGTGTCAGTGCAAATATTCAGATGGACTTCATAATTATGTTTCTGCTTTCTTCTGTTATAATCGCTCGTGTTGTCTGTTATGAATAACTGAAAAAGAAGGGACTAATTTTGTGAAATTCTGTTAACAAGGTTTATTAATACCAAACCTTGTTAACAGAAGTAAACAAATAGCCCCACAGAACTTATATGTGTTATACTTGAAACTTAGGTTTAATTTTCCTATATTTTCAAGAATGTGTGCCTACAGTCAGTTTTCCACAGTTGTAAGACCTTTTTTTTCAACAACTTTGAAGTATTATTGTTTACATGAAATGAAGAAGCAACAGAGATAAATAAAGCTTGTAGAATTAGACAAGCCTGTGTTGCTTGGAATCATTGCAACAATGAAAAGACTTATACCTTGAAATCCAAATGAATTTTGAAATGATTGTCTGGTTTCATTTTGGAATGAATCCTAAGTAGGATAAATTTGCTTGCTTGCTTGACTGATTGATTGATATACTGTTCCTTTAATGCAAACACTATGAGAGGTTTATGGATTAAAACTTAAAAACCTATAAGACATTTATGATGAACACAAGCTTCTGATTTCTTTTTCCTAGAAAATTCTGTAGGACTCTTGGGGAATTGTTCAAGCTCAGACTCTAACACCTGCCAGTAGGCATTTGAACAAAAAGTACAGAATTTTCTACATGGATGAAAAATAGGAGCCAAATGAATAGAGAAGGAAAACTTCTAAAAAATAGAACCTTAAAGGTACTTGTGCAATCTGCACCAAGTAAGGCACAGAGAAAGCCTGTACAGTACTACCTACACCCACTCTGCCAAATTCAATAACATGATCACAATTCAATAACATGATCAAAAGTTAAATTTTGTGTTTGTCCTGCCCTCTCTTATCAGTCATGGTTTCCTGAATACTGTTTTGTGTGGTTATACAATATCAAAATTGCACTCCTGTGTACTACTAATAAAACTCCACATTATGTGAGACAGCCATTATCTGATCTCCTACTCTTTCTGTTTACTTCAAAGTAGATTGGGACCATGGTGTTACTAGATGGAGTTTTTCTCCTTACTAATTAAAATTTGTCCTGCCAAGCAGCTATCAGCTGCAAAGGCAGGTACAATATTGGTTACCCCTCTCCTCACCATAGTAGTGCAGCTAACAGATGCTCAGGTGACTATTTAAATCAGGTAAATAACATGGAGGATGGATTATGTCTCTGGTCTGAACACTAGAAGTTTCTGCACATTGACATGAAAAGATGTAGATGTCTGTGTACTTGGAGGGTCAGAAAACAGGTGAGAGAGAGACTTAAACAAGTTGGTAAAATGCTATGGAGGAAAGTATCAAGAATCAAACGCTATGCCTTTTATGCTTTAGTTTAAAATCCTCACATTGTATTACAAAATGGCTGAGCCCTAATGATGTTATTTGGCTGTTCCCTGCCACATGTTAGATGCTGAATGTTTTATTTGCATCTTAATGTGCTTTAATTTTGTACAGTATGCTCATAAAGGTTTCTGTCTGTCTCTGTGTCTATTACAAAATGGGTAGAAACCAAATGAGACTGAATATGTACATGGCCCTTAGTAAACTTCATTGAAAACAATTGTTTTGAAGTGCATATTTTAGATATAAATAAATAAATAAATAAATAAATAAATAAATAAATAAATAAATAAATAAATAAATGTTCATTATGTGAACCCATTGACATTGCCAAAGTCATCATTTTATGCAGAATTTCACATATATTCCAACATTTCAGATACAGTGTTGTTTTTTGCTTTGCCAAGAAAAAATCACTGAGGAAGCCCACAGAATTGTGTTTTTTTTTCATTAATGTCTTATGTGCAGATTTCTTAAGACAGTTGTCTGATTTAATTGAAAATCAAGAAGTTATTCAAGCTTAGTATCTTTATGTCTTTGTTCTCCAAGACAGAGGAAAGACACATTTTTAAAATGGCAGCATACAATACAGAAGGTCTATTCTACTCTGTAGCTGATGTTACACATGTAATAAAATGCAGTTTTCATTCATTTCACCTTTAATCTGTCTTCCACTTTCATTGACTTCACAGGTCTTTTGGAAAAAATCAAATATTAATATATTTTATTTTCACAGTGACAGCTTGCAGGACACATTTCTTGTAATAATGGATTAGTGCACGGGTGTTTTTTCTTTAGACTGAGACAGTTGCTGATCTTATCTTCACCTGGGCAAGGATTGGCTGCAATGGAAGGGATGCAAATGTTTAGTGCAAGGACTGTCAATCCAACAGAGGCATAAGAACATACGATCACAGGATAAGACATGCTAGATCAGATCAAGTCTGGTATTCCATTCACACAATGGTCAAACAATTGTCTACGGGATGTTCCCAAGCCACATATGACTGGAGATACATCTTTTTTCCATTCCCACCCAGCTAACACTGTATAGCAACTGAATCCTGTTGCTTTTTTCACAGGTGGAAGGCAAACAATGTAATGTTCACTTGCTTCCCACTGCCAATTAAAGAAGCTCTCTCAGAATTCTTCATTGCCTGCCAAGCCAGTGGCAATTCTTTGATTATCAGCTAGAAGCAAGTGAATGTTCCACTGTTCGTTTTCTGTTTGCATAAAAACCGAACAAGATTTCAGCCACAGAATTGTAATTCCTGTGGAGCTAGGTAACTATATATCAATTAAGTCGTAGCCATTGACAGAACCATCCTCTGTTAATTTTCCCAACGTCTTGGTAAAGCTGGCCAAAATGGCAGCCAGGAGAAAGATATCTGATTAACATATAAGTGATCCCAAGTCTTGGGTCATCATTGCAGTTGGACTACAGCTGCCACAATTCCTAACTACTGGCTAGGCTTCCTAGAGTTTCTGGAAGTCCAACTTATGAACCACTAATATGTGGACAGACAAAGATAAAAAGAGGACTGTTGCCATGTTTTACTGATTCTTGGGAGCAGAAATCATGTCAAGAAGGAATCAGGTTTCCATTGATGAACCCCCAATTTGGAGATGTTAGTTTTTGAACTATCATTTCTAGAATTTTAATTTTTCCTGTTATGTTTGCACAGTCTAACATGGCTACTTCTTCTAAAACTGCAACTATGATAGATCAAAAACAAAACTTTTTCTATCTCTTACTAAACTAAATGTTCAGCTGGAGAGATTTGATCCGGCAGTAGTGTTCCTGTGATATTGTCGAAGGAAAACCTGCAATATGTGTGTTATGTTTGTCTTCGTGCCTGAGAACAACACAGTCTACACATATAGTAAGTACAAACTAGTAGCACTGTTGGAAGAAAAAGTGGAAAAAAATAGAGAAGTGGACGTCCAGGCTTAAGGCTCTAAGAGAAGATGAAGAGTACATAGAGAGACCTCTTGAGCAGCAGCAGAGCAGTCAAAGGACGCAATAGAGGTGGAAAAACAGCAAGACAAAGCAGAGGTAGAGTGAAAACTTGGTGAACAACTAGCTACAAAGGCCGCACTGAAATGATTTTTGGGCCATGGACTGTATTTCCTGGAAGGTGGACTGTTAAGTGATGGGTTGCACTTCACAAGGACTGGGAAGAATGTGTTTGGTGACAGCAACTAAAGGATATAACATATTTTTCCGCATATAAAAAGACATTTTTTCCTAAAATCATTAGAGGAAAAATTGAGGGTCATTTTGTACACAGAAGGAGGCAGAGACGGAGGCAAAGGAGCAGCTGCACTCGGCCGCCTCTCGTGGCTGCCCATTGACTGCTGTCACTGCCTCCAGATCGCCTCCTCCAGCACCACTCATTGGCTCCCTTCAGACAGGGGACAAGGCGGCAACATGAGCTGGAGGTGAGCCCTGACACTGGCGCTGGAGGAGGCGAAGATTTGTGAAGAACAAATCCTGCCAAATAAATCTTTATCTTATTCTTGATTGGGTAACCTCCCTGGTAGATGGTGGAAGATTTTTGATTGGGTAACCTCCCTGGTAGACGGTGGAAGTACTGTAGACATGCTATATCTTGACTTCAACAAAGCCTTTGACAAAGCGGCCCATGATATTCTAATTAGCAAGGTAACTAGTTGTGGGCTAGATAGAACAACTGTCAGGTGGATACAAATTTGATTACAGAGAGTGCTTATCAATGGTTCTTTCTCAAAATGGGAGAAGGTAATAAGTGGGGTACTTCAAGACTCAGTCCTGAGCCCAATTCTATTCAACATTTTTATTAATGACTTTGATGAAGGAGTGCAGGGAATACTTAGCAAATTTCCAGATGTCACAAAATTGGGTGGAATGGCTAATATCTTGGATGACAAGAACAAAATTCAAATAGATCTTGATAGGCTTGAGCACTGGGCTGAAAACAAATGAATGAAATTTAACAGTGATAACTACAAAGTTCTACACCTAGGAGAAAAAAACCCAAATGTAGAGTTCCAAGATGGGGGATACTTGGCTCAGTAATACTACAAGTGAGAAAGATCTTGGAATTGTAGATGAAAAACTGGATATGAGCCAACAGTGTGATGTGACTGCAAAAAAAGGCCAATGCTATGAGGTGCTATCAAGAGTATTGCATCCTGTTCTGGACACCACACTTTAAGAAGAATGCCAGCAAACTGGAACAAGTTTAGAGAAAGACAACAAGGACGATCAGGGGGCTGATGAGAAAAAGCTGGAAGAACTGGGCATGTTTAGCTTTTTGGGGGGGGGGAGACTGAGAGGAGATGTGATAACAGCTTTTGAATATTTGAAAGGTTGTCATACAGAGGAGGGCAGGATCTATTCTCAATCATCCCAGAGTGCAGAACACGCAACAATGGGCTCAAGCTACAGAAAAGCAGATTTCAGTTGAATATGAGAAAAACATTCTTAACTGTTAGAGCAATACAAAAATGGAACTGGTTATCTTGGGAGGTGGTGAGTTCTCCAGCGCTGTAAGCATTCAAGAGAAAACCATCTGTCAGATACTCTTTGATGTGGATCCCTGCATAGGGGGTTGACTTGATGGATCTATAGGCTCCTTCCAACTCAATTAATATATTATTGTATGAAAAGAAGAGGCACATATGCCCCACAGCTATCTGCCAGACACTTGTCAGTGATTTGAACTTGGAATTTTTTTGTAACATACGTGTTCTACCTTTGAGCTACAGATGTTCCCCTGACTGTCCATGTAGCACTGATATACTTGAATACCACTGGAAGCTTATTGACTATTATCAGAAGTGTTCAGAAACCTCAGTGTGTCCAAAATGTTGCAGCCAGATTGCTAACTGGGCATGATAACAGAGATCACTTAACCCCCTGTTACAGCAGCTTCACTAGCTGTCAGTCCATTTCCAGGCACCATTCAATGTGCTGGTTTTAACCTACATTGCCCTAAACAGTTTTGGCCCAAGCTGCCTCAAGGACCTCATCTCCTTTGATATTCTCCCTGGGTGTTAGGAGAATCAGAAAAGGGCTTTCTCAAGGTCCCACCACCTTCGTAAGTAGGTTTACTTCTCTATTCATAGACTTTGGAACTCTTTCCAAGGGGAGGTCAGGCAGGCTCCATCAACGGATTCATTGAAATGGGTCTTTCACATGATTGCTAACTCAATTTCATTTCATTTGGAATGCAGGATTTTACAGGATTATTATGTAAACAAGCTCTGAGTGGGATTTTTAAATGGATTGATGTGCCTTACTCCCTTCGAATGTGTTTTTAGTTTTCTTTTTATTTACCTCTGTGTGTGTGTGTGTGTGTCTGATTCTTGTTAACATTTGTACACGTACTTTTAAATATTGTATTTTAATGATGTAAGCAATTTTGGATCCTCTCTAAGGAGGGCAGGGTAAAAATATTTTAAATACATAAATGAAATTATCAAATAATTGTTAAACGCAAACGACATCAAAGATAAATGAAGTACGACTGTCTGTACTTACTGCATAGTCCGTCATCACAGTAATCAGTACAATTGCCACATGTTGTTCCTATAGTGTATGGTCTAAACCTCCGTCCCATTACATTTCCCCTGAAATTTTAAAAGTTCATAAAAAGAATATTACAAACACAATTCTTCCTTTATTCTTCAAATGCAAGTTTTCCTGGCAGAGAGTCAAAGCCTGGAAGTTCACAGAATCTGAGTACAAACTGTCTCTGTGAGTATCTGCATGCGTGCACACTTGCCATCAAGTCATTCTAACGTAAGGCAACCATTTACAGGGTTTTCAAGGTACAGAATACTCAGAGGTGGTTTACCATTTCCTTCTTTCAAGGGCTCCCTGGGACTGTGCAGCTTGCATATGACCACATAAGCTGACTTTTCTCCCAGGAGGCACAGTGAGGAATCAAACTCACAACCTTTGACTCCACAGGCAGATACCTAAACCACTGAGCTCTCCAGCCAGGTCACAAACTCGATAGAACCCATCTAACCTCTAAACCTCCGCTCCAAAGCAGTCAGAAGAAACAATTTCCCACTTGTTCACCACATTCAATGTGGTAGATGTCTCCATCCTTTCCATAGCTTTAAATAATTCATTAATTCATTAATTATCATTTATTAATCCTAATTTGTTCACATTTTTTTAAAAAAATTTAGTTTATTAAACTAACATCCAACCTAAACAACATAAAACTAACACCACAATAAATTACAATTACATAATACACCATTGCCACCTTCACCCTCAGGGCTAACATTAATAGTATTTTTAAAATTCATTCAATCCATTTTCTCTCCAAAAATTCATTGTTTCTTCCCTCAGCATATACCCCTTTCCTCTCCGAACTACATATTCCAGGAATGCACTCCATGTTTTCTTAAAACAAATATTTTTGATAGGCTCTTCTCTATTTTCATATCACATGTTAATTTATCATTAATTGCCATATTCATTAATTCTCTATAGCATTCCTCTAAATTAATTTGTTCACATTTTTAAATTAGTAATGTAATCATTGAACAACATTTTTCTGAGATCAATAAATTCTTTTTATTTCATTACTGACAATGATAAGGAATTTTTGTATTCTGAAAGGCTTTCACTGCTGGGATCTGATGGTTGTTGTGGGGGTTTTGGGGGGTATTTGGCTGTGTTCTGAAGGTTGTTCTTCCTAACGTTTTGCCAGTTTCTGTGGCCGGCATTTTCAAAGGACAGGAGTCAGAATTCTGACTGTGCTCTGCTGCAGTTTATTTGGATAGCTGAGTATTTATACCTGTGTGATCAGCTTTTGTCCTTTTCAGGAGATGGGTGATTGTGGTGATTAGCCCGTTTTTTGTTGTGGGTGTATGGTTGTGATAAGAGGGAGAGATGATCTGTCACTGTGATTGATGGGTGTCGTTCCTTGTAGCTGGGTAGGGTTCATTGACCTTTTGCAGGCTGTATTTTTCAGTGCTGGAAGCCAGGCCTTGTTGAGTTTTAAACTTTCTTCTTTTTTATTGATGCTCTGCTGGTGTTTGTGGATTTCAATGGCTTCCCTGTGCAGTCTAACATAATAACATAATGATTACTGGTGTTGTCCAGTACTTCAGTATTCTGAAATAAAATTTCATGTCCAGCTTGTTTCAGGGCATGTTCAGCTACTGCCGATTTTCCTGATTGTTTTAATCTGCAGTGTCACTCATGTTCTTTGATTCTGGTGTGGATGCTGTGTTTTGTGGTTCCAATATATACCTGGCCACAACTGCAAGATATCCAGTATACTCCTGCAGTGGTGAGGGGGTCCCTTTTGTCCTTTGCTGACCGTAACATTTGTTGCATTATTGTGGTGGGCTTGAAATACTGC